AAATATTTCAATACCAGTTTTGCTCATTAGAGCCGTTTCTGTTTGTAACAGTAATCAACAAAACATTTCATGTCATTCTAATTATAACATGTCATAATGTTGTAAACTGCTAACTTACCATCATAATTCTCACTGATTTTGACAAAAATGAACCTTTTGTCAGATGGCACTGTGGAGGGTCTTGTCATGTTTATGGTGGCATCAAACTCCAGAGGACTGTAATGTCTTTTTTTACCCATCTCCGAGATGCTGAAAGATTATGAATAAAAATATAACAACAACACTATATGCACGAGTACTAAACTTTTATTAGGATTCGGCAAGGAATAGCATTAATATTTGTACCTACAGTGTACTTAAAGTGTACAAAGTGTACATACTCCAAAAGTATTCTAGTATAAGGTAACTAAATGGGTTAAAGTTAGATTTAGGGGTAGGTTCAGGGTTAGTGCCTAGTTATTACCCAGTTATTGTAATTGCTATAATAAGTGCATAGTATGTATGCTGAACAGGACTGTAAAATAAATTGCTTCTTTATTTTCTAATCAAATGTTTAGAGAACAAACTATCTGCTCACAGTCCAGCGTTTCTGACGATGAGCTCAGACTCGGCACGATGGTTGGTCCGCATCTCAATAGCCCACCGGACCTTCCTGAGACCGTCAAACAGATCGTGCAGTGTGTTTCCAGGCTCAATGCTGGGCAACTGTCTCACATCTCCTGCAGACACAAAACAAAATGAACAAAATACAGCTGTTTATTTCCATTATTGAAATCTGATACACATGCAATTTGCTTTTACCCAAAAAGATGAACTTCTGTAGTTCTGTGTGTTTGGTCAGCATGCTGAGAATAGAGTGAAGGATCTGAACAGACACCAGGCTCCCCTCGTCGACCACCAGCACCCGCACCTTCGAGAACTTCCATTCTTGAAGATTTCCATTTTCTTCTTTTTTTCTGTTCATGAAGCTCCATAAAACCTGAAAAAGATGAACACACAAAAAGGAACATCATGCAGGAGTCAAATGAACATTTATTTGTCTCTACTTGTGCAATGTGGCTATACCTGGTGCAGAGTATAAGCAGTGCAGCCGGTTCTTTTAGTAAGAATTGAAGCAGCTCTCCCTGTAGGAGCAGTGAGGAGAACTTCAATAGGAGGCTTTTCATCACCGTCACTCTTGCTGGTCTGTTTCTCCATGGCCTCCTTAAACACCAGACTGACCAATGTGGTCTTCCCACAACCACCCTTCCCACTGATCACCGTCACCGGGTTGGCGCATATCATTTCTGCTGCTCGCACATGATCCTCGTCTAACTCTATAGCAGAGTCATTTAAGTCATCAGGAGCCATCTCCTTTAATCTCTCCATTGCAGCTCTTTGAAGAACCTCCTTCACATCCAAGTGGATCATCCAGGGTTCTCCCTCAATCAGGGCCCTCAAGCATTCAGCAATGCCTTTCTCGTAGCTGAAGAAGTTGTGAAGTGCCACCTTGTTGTTCTCCTGTATCAGCACGCCATGCTTGTGAAGGAACAAGAACCCTGCATCTTCAATTTTCCACTGTTGCATTTTCTCCAGCAGCATCTTCTGTTCAATGTATGTGCTGCCAGTATCTCTGCAGTAGTCTTTCAGCCTTGCATACAATTGTAAGCCATTACGCTGCTCCTCAGTCATTCGGCTGAGCAAATTACAAGCCTCAAAAGCCTCAAGCTTTGCTTCACATCTGATCATACGGAATTCTCTAAACATGATCTGTCAGAAATACGATAACATTGAGACAACAACCAGATAAAAAAAGATACCAAACAATAGATAATATTTATTACAAATGTTTCAGTAACATCCAAAAATTAGAGAAGGAAAGCTTTATCTGAAAGTTAACTGTTTTAAAATCTTAAAGTTTGAATAGACGGAGAAGTAGAGCAGGCTGAAGGACTGAGGTGGATGAAAAATAAAACGGGTAATGGATTTTGGAGAAAAAAAAAGAAGACAGCTTTGTGCTTACATAGTTGAAGCCCAACTTCCAAACATCAGTCTTAATTAACTGCTCCAGATTCTCCAATACGTGTGTGTTACTCTGCTGCTCTGGAGTTTCTTCAGTGGTATCCTGTGAGTTTTTCATCTTTCCATCGCTTATTATGTCCATAAACTGGCCTGGTAACAATGTTGGCAAGTATTTCATGATTTGAGGGTACTTTCTGGCAACTCTCACATGTGTCCAAGCAACTGTTTTTCCAGACAAAATTAACAACAACAAGCACATTAATATAATTTTTAAGTCATGCCAGATAAGAAATCGACAAAGAACTGATTTGTGTAAAAATCATTAATTACAGGATGTTTATATAACAATCTGAAGATACATGTTTTTAATCATTTGAAAGGAGTGTAATAAATATATCAATTCATCTTTATATAACATCACTAAAATATATTTTAACAATGTTATATGCAAATACTATTTTAATAAAATGTTAATTATTTGACATTTTGTATTATAACTTTAAAACTATGTGTGTGTGTGTGTGTGTGTGTACATATATATATACAGTATATATAAATATAAATATATATATATATATACACACACACACTTTTATTCTTTCACATTCTAATGACATTATGAATCTTTATTTTACGATAAATATTTTAGTCAAATTCTTAAATTGTAACAAAATATTTTCTTATATCCACCTTATTTTTTCCGTAAGAGTAGGAGCAGACATTTGTAAATTTTATGGGTCTGGCTTCCGGTCTCATCTGCGTCCAGCTATTTTTAGCTGTACAAAACAGCTTGTTTTGCTGCTTGATATTGCAAATTGTTGTGTCTTTTAATGTTATTTTAATGCATTATTAAATTATTATCTTAATTATGAACACACTGGTTTGTAGTGCAAACAGTTTTACCGTTTACATCACTGTTATTCTTCTCGTTATTTCCCTATAGTGGCTAATGAACTGGAAGTCTCGCCCATAAGCTTACTTCGGCATTGAAGAACAAGGTGGATAGATCACTTCAAATACAATCTACTTAAGCAGACGTTGGAGTGGTCCTTCAATAAGTTATTGAAAGTGCTAAATTGCTCTAAGTATTATGAAAATATGTGATGAGTGGTCCAACCTGAGTTAATGACATTTGACTTGAGCTCTTTAGCCACAGCTTTATGCTTTGGTGCTGAATCTTCAAAATCCTGCAGCGCATCCAGCACATTGATAAGCTCCACCACGTGTCTGTTTGTGGACAAAAAGTCCATAAAGCTCATAACAAACCCCGGTTTTGCGCCACATGCTTTAAGAAAAAGAGACACAAGTGACTGGTCCTCTGAACTCAGATCGGTGCGGAGACTGTAGGAGGGATAGCTGGAGGGGATGGTAGAAAACTTGCACTTATTGCCACGGCGAACTGTGCAGGTTACCTCCCACCACGGATCACAAAGGTGAAAACGGCTCCTAACCTTGTATGTCTCATTACAAGCCATGAATGACACTGCAAAAGATGAACAATTGCAACAGCTTAGTCTGTCTTTCAGGTATGAGATGCAACAGCAAGAGAATTTAACATGTAACAATGTAAAGTTTATGTTACTTTTACTTGTAAAAGTGTACGCTCTAAATATAATAAATAAGTTTCTAGGCATAGGAGAACTAGGCAGTTGCCTAGGGCAGTGGTTCCCAACCCTGGTCCTGGAGGCACCCCAACACTGCACATTTTGCATGTCTCCTTAATCAAACACACCTGATTCAGGTCATCATCTCATTAGTAGAGACTCCAAGACCTGAAACTGGTGTTTCAGTGAAAGGAGACATGTGTGCAGTGTTGGGGTGCCTCCAGGACCAGGGTTGGGAACCACTGGCCTTAGGGCACCACCAGCTGAAGGGGTGCCAGTGAGCCCCTCAACTCCTCCATTAAAATTGTAACGTCATTATTTAGCAATAATTAGGCCAACTACGTTTTACCTTTTTGTCTTTTCTTAATGTTATCAAAAAGACAGCAATCAATAATCTAAATATTTAGGCCTATTGCATAATATACATTTAAAAAGATGAATAATGGCATCAGCAAAAACATTCATCTATTCTAGAAAACAATAAAATATGGATCAAATTTAAATGTCGTACACCTCTATCGGAAGTATTTTAAATGATCATACTATAATACGAATCAAATGCATCATATTCCATTAATTTATTTCAATTGTAAAAAAAAAAAAGCATTTAAAACATATTGGGAATGTCATTATAGACTTTTTTCATTTACAGAATTACATGGTAAGGTTTACTAAATTCATATTTGTGCATCGAATTGGTTTGGTATTTGTATTCGTTTGGTAATTAATTTAATTTACTTAGAATGTTAAGTAAACTAACTAAATGGTGGTGGGGGCGGGGGCGGGGACGGTTGACCAGAACTAAATAACTACAATTAAGTAACTTATTATTTATTTAGCATTGAAAACGTAACCGATTTTAAGTTTTGTGTTGTTACTATGACAATCGAAAGACTTCAGACAAAGGACTGCAGAGTGAATATATATTTCATTTAGCCAAAAATAGTTTAGTTAGGAAACAAATGGGTTAAACAGCATATAGCTGCTTTGAAAGTTTGTCTGTTTATTAGTTAGCCTAATATACCTTCTTTGGACGCCGGCACGGAGAACTTAAACACTTTTCCTCCAGATGAGACAGCGTTCACCTCCTTCATGTCCAAAAATTCTGTTTGTATGTCCTCTTTTTCATCTTCGTTTTCAACATCATCATCCACATCGTTTGACAGAATGTAACCAGTTATGGTTTGTTCAAGCAAGGTACTTCGCGTTCGCAGCGACATTCTGTGTGTACTTGATTAACTATACGCGTGACTGATTGTAATCACTGAAATAGAAAATAATTATGTCTAGTGAGGATATTTTGGCGCGTGATGTCCGAACGAGTTTCGCAATGCTCGAAGTCTTCAGATCATTCTGCATCATATTCCCAAAATAAAAGTCTCCGTGAAGTTTAATTTGTTTCTTTAATTATGGTTTGAACATTGTACATTATTTTACACATTTGTACGTACATAGATTAGATCAAAAGCCCCTTGTGCTTCCTCAATTAATCCAGTCGTCAAAAACAAACGTACAGAGCTTCACTGAAGCATGGAGATTTGTAGGCACTATAAGGAAGTGGAAACACCGGTAAGTGTTTCTGACAGATCGTACTCTTTGAAATAATTGCTTTAACGAATTACAAAGAAGTAACAGGCTAAAATAAACTATTATCTCCACCCTCCAAAGTGACAGTAGTTGCAGGTCTGCGTAAAATATATTGTGGTTAATATTTTTTATAATTTTGGTAGCATCCTCACATCACACTTCTTTTTAATGTTAAAAACTCAGTTTGGGAATAAGTTATGTATATTTAGAAGCAGATACATATAGAAATGCAGTTAAAATATCTTCAAATACTTTTAAAAGCAGCACAAACAAACAAACGTTCAAACAAAATGAGCTCCAACACTCCCCACTGCTGATAAAAATCCCAGAGTGAATTTTTTTGTGGAGATAGCCAACCTATTGCTGAATCACTCTGACTTTAGCGAAAGAAGTTCTTCAGTTTTTATTAACCCCTGGTTGTACAGATTAATTTTATTCCTCATTTTCTCTTTTGCTGGATTTGAGATGCCATTCTGAGAGGGCTGGGCATCATCATCTGAAAAAGAAAAATATTGGATATTAATTCTGAACCTGCTTGAACATAATTTAATTTGTACTGACAAAGAAGTTTGACACTTCCTAGACAGATTTCTCTGTGAATGCACAATGCTGTGAATGAAAGTAGAGATGACTCTACTTGCCTAGAGTTGCATATAAAACAGACTGACTGAAGCCATTCGCACAGCAGTCCTCACACCCCTGCGCTTCGGTTCCAGTGCTACAGCTGCACTCCACAGGCCAGCTCCCATATAAGTCCAGGCGAGCTGCAGAGTCTGACTGCAAACTTTGTGATGCTGAAACCACTCTGTCATTTTCCTGAAGACATTCCCTGAGGGAATGCGACAAGTTGGGATCTCCAACACTCAAGAAAGTGACCTCAGACTGGCTGCATTCGCACGGTTCTGCCAGATTGGGAACTCTGTGAGGTTGCGGTTCCTCCAGTGGGCTGTAAAGTTCATGAACTTCAATGGGGAAGCTTAGACGTGGACTGTGGCCATTGTATGGCTGCTGAAGAGGGACTGTATCATCTAGAGTGTGCGGCTGCTCCTCAGGCAATGCAGGCATGGGAAGAAGTTGGTTTAGTCTCTGAAGCACCTGAAGAGGAATAAAATAAAGTTTACATAAGTTTATGTGTGTACATGTTTGCATAAATGAGAATATTTACAAACCATTTCCATGCTCGGCCTGACTCGCATTTTGCTGCCTGTGCACTCTAATCCGATTCGGAGCACACAAAGTGCCACAGCAGCAGGCCAGTGCTCAACTTTGGGATCTAAAAACCGCAGACAGGCATCCACCGAGCCTTTTTCCTCAAACTCTGAATGCAGTACATCTCTCTAAAGAAATGCAATGGCATTAGATAGTGAAAGGCAAAGTTCTGTTATAAATTATATTCAAGGGATAGTTCACCCAAAACTGAAAATTCTGTCATTAATTACTCACCCTCATGTTGTTCCAAACCCGTAAGACCTTCATTCATCTTCAGCACACAAATTAAGATATTTTTGATGAAATCCGAGAGCTTTCTGACCCCGCATAGACAGCAATGCAACTACCACATTTAAGACTCAGAAAGGTAGTAAAGACATTGTTAAAATAATCCATGTGACATCAGTGGTTGTTATGAAGCTACGAGAATACTTTGTGCGCTCAAAGAAAACAAAAAAAATGACTTTATTCAACAATTTCTTCTCTTCCGTGCCAGTGAACACGTGTCCACGACAGTACCACGATTATTTTAATGATGTCTTTACTACATTTCTGAGCCTTGAACATGGTAGTTGCATTGCAGTCTATGGAAGGTCAGAAAGCTCTCTGGTTTTATCAGAAATATCTTAATTTTTGTTCTGAAGATGAACAAAGGTCTTACGGGTTTGAACAACATGAGAGTGAGTAATTAATAACAGAATTTTCCTTTTTTTGGTGAACTATCCCTTTAATGTAAAGTATGAATTATATCAACGGATTAAAAAAAAAAACTCCAAATGTAAAAAAAAAGTCCTTAAATAATGAAATTATACAAATAAAATGTAATGAAAATAGTAATGATACCATTTATAATTAAATAATATTACAATTTAAAACAAGTAGTAGTAATAATTTTCATTTTAACATTTTAAAATATCACTTATTTCTGTGACATTACTTCAGTCTTCAGTGTCACATGATCTGTCAATCTGTCTCAAGTTTCTTGTATGCATTATATATATATATCTATATCTATTCGGGTCAGATATTTGTAAAATTAATTTTATTTATATGACCACTTTAAAGTGATATGTCTATATTGGTTTGGCAAGTAACATTTTTTTTATTCCTCAAGTAGATTCTTACTTCTTACCAAAAACAGGCTTTTTCCTGACTCTTGTTTCACCTTCTGTAAGACCCAGAAAGGTAGTAAAGACATTGTTAAAATAATCCATGTGACATCAGTGGTTGTTATGAAGCTACGAGAATACTTTGTGCGCACAAAGAAAACAAAAAAATTTATTCAACAATTTCTTCTCTTCCGTGCCAGTGAACACGTGTCCACGACAGTACCACGATTATTTTAATGATGTCTTTACTGAGCCTTGAACATGGTAGTTGCATTGCAGTCTATGGAAGGTCAGAAAGCTCTCTGGTTTTATCAGAAATATCTTAATTTTTGTTCGGAAGATGAACAAAGGTCTTACGGGTTTGAACAACATGAGAGTGAGTAATTAATAACAGAATTTTCCTTTTTTTGGTGAACTATCCCTTTAATGTAAAGTATGAATTATATCAACGGATTAAAAAAAAAACTCCAAATGTAAAAAAAAGTCCTTAATGAAATTATACAAATAAAATGTAATGAAAATAGTAATGATACCATTTATAATTAAATAATATTACAATTTAAAACAAGTAGTAGTAATAATTTTCATTTTAACATTTTAAAATATCACTTATTTCTGTGACATTACTTCAGTGTCACATGATCTGTCAATCTGTCTCAAGTTTCTTGTATGCATTATATATATCTATATCTATTCGGGTCAGATATTTGTAAAATTAATTTTATTTATATGACCACTTTAAAGTGATATGTCTATATTGGTTTGGCAAGTAAAAATGTTTTTATTCCTCAAGTAGATTCTTACTTCTTACCAAAAACAGGCTTTTTCCTGACTCTTGTTTCACCTGCTGCCTGGGTTTCTAGCTGGTCCAAGCTGATCATTAGTTTGAAAACCAACCTTTGGTGGACTCAACCAACTAGAACCTGGTTTGTTGGTAGTAGACCATCTTGCACTGGCAGGACCAACTAATTACGTTTCGACCAATTATAATTTACAGCGTTCAAAAAGGCTTGAACAGCGTTTTCCATGGGCTATTTAACATTTCCACATACAAGAAATACAGAGTAATTGATAAGATGCTCATAGCTGAACCTCATACTTACAGGTAACGGTCGTACAAAGTTATGATGGTAAAGTGCGTTTTGTTTTTTTACCTAAAGCTCTCCATCCCAGACCGTCGACCGCGCTGTCCATCAGTCTACAGAAAGACCCCATCAGCACCGGCGGGACGTCGAAGAGGAACATCGATGTGTCTATTTGACCTGACATGATTCGCTAGTCTTGACGATACAGGTGTGTGAAGTTTGACTAGATTGAGGCGTTTCATTCCTTTCGGACTGATGACTCTACAGTGCTCTCTTGTGTTGACAACTCTTGCTACAACACGGAAATTCCCAAACCCCACCTACTTCCTCTCAATAATTTGACTTATACTCTCAACTGAATATTTGCTCGTATGAGAAAAGTGACAACCCATACAACCAAACAAAACACTCAAAAATCCAGCAATTAAAAATTAGGCAAATCATTTATACATTATATACTTATATAATAATAATAATGATGATGATTAGTATTATTACATCCTTGCATAATTGGCTATTTTATTACTTATTTTAGTAACTATTTTATTATGCATCTGTATTAGCTATACATTCATATATAACAATTGACAGTAAAATAAAGGCAATAATAAAATAAGTAGCCTATACATACAGGTAAACATAACATCTAAAAAAAAGCAATTAATATGTGAAGATTCTTTTGATACAATGATACGATTGTACCAAAATTGATACAGTTGATGATTGATACTTTCTCCGTAGATAAACTGTTAAAAGATGTTTTGAAGGTCTGAATCCTTCTTACTATAATCAGAGATAAAGTTCATTTACAGCTCTACAATAGAGAGACAGGAAAACAGAAATCAAACAGAAATTGTTAAAACTGTCAAATCTATCATAGGCCTCCTTTTTTAAGACTGTGACACAGAAAAGTAACTAATGTTTTAGCTTGACAAACTCTGCCTAGGGCTAGATGATTGCCCGTTTTTCTAAACAGATACATTTGAAGTTTTCATACTGTGCATTCAGACAATCTACAACTGTGCATTAATAAAGGCCAATCACTTAGGCTGGATATTAAAACACATACATCTTTATTTACAAAATGTCTCTAAAATTACAAAAGCTGGTGATTGTCAGCAGTATGAGTCACCGCATTTCAGCTTCATAATAGCATTATCAAATTATTAATATGACCACTTGATGTCAGTTGTGCTCATGCGCTTGAGGACAGAGGCTGGTCCACTGTTTTTTAATCCAATCACCGGCTTGGGTTGCTCAGTTGCTAGGCAGACATTTATGTTTTAGGATAGGCAAGTAACTGAAACTCGCTATAATGTTGATTTCACTTCAAAATACAGGTATTAGTACAGACTATTTGAAGCAATAAACACAACTGTTTCAATAGGTTTTCAAATTTGTATTTTCCCCACTTAGAATGACATTTTCTCTGAAACAATGTCAAATTGAATCATTCATATTCATTAAATACCTGGTTTGCAATTGTTTTAAAATGAGAATTGATTGTGTTATTTGTATTTGATTACAAAATAAAGCCCAAAATTAAGCATAATCATTGCCAATTATTTTACATATACAATCGCCTACAAACTGCTACCGCTTGTACTACACAGAATTTGCACATGCAAAGGAATGAAACAGTGAAAAGAACCCAGAAAATAATCCAAAACATGTTGCAGCAACTTTGGTTAAATTATGCTTACTCTCATGGAGAAAAAGAATGTCAACTCAAGGAAAAGCTAAAATCGATGAATCGCGGAAGTTACAAAGTCATCTGTGTGAATAGTGCATCTCGAGAAACAGCGGGTTTGTAAAATTGGAACAGCAGGATATTATGGTTTCTGCAGATGATGGAAAAAGTCCAAAACATGAGAAGTTAACCTAAGAAAAAAAAGAAAGAAAAAACACCTCTTTATTCATTTTTACAATTCCGAAATGCCACATTTTAATGGTGGAAAAACACTTTTTTGGTATTTGGCTAATAATACACAAGGTAATACTTACTGTCCTTTGTCCGGCTTTGACTGTTTTAACTTTACATGTTGGACTCTGCAGAAAAAAAACATGAGACGTTCAATAAACATGCAATGTCAAACCACAAGGTATCTTCTCAAAACATACACATTACGCTCACCCCAAGAATAGGAATTTGTATTCCTCATGTGTCGAACTTTGCAGGTGTATTCTTCTCCTCTCTCTGGTTTGAAGGTGACGCTCTTGGTAAGGTGAAACTGCCAGCCCTTTTCGAAGGCCAGGTCAGTTTGCTGGGTATTAGGGAGAACTTCGCCATTCTTCAGCAGTTCAATGGTGATATCAGGAGGGTGGAAGCCACTCACATGGCAGATTAGGGTGTTCTCCTTTCCATACTCTCCAGGAGAATGGCTGTACACCTGAACCTTGGGACTGGCTGAAATAAGAATTTAAAATATTAGTTTACAAAGATAACACGGAAATAAATATTATTGTAACACATTTAAATATGATAAACATAAATCACCAAATAAAAATTGATTTCAACCTTTTTGACTCTAGACAAAGGAACCTCTGAGGGAAATATCTTCTATTTCATGAATTTTCTCAAACAAAACGACTTGCATCAGAATTTCTCCTCGCTTGCATGCAGTAAACAGGTAACGCAATCAATAAAAAATGTAAATAACTCTGTTTAGCAGTAGGTAACATACAAATGATTTACTATGTTTCTCAATGTTAGTCACTGTAGTTGAAGGCCCATAAAATAAAGGCTATTAATGTCTTTAAACTGTGGCTTTTCGATACAATAAGACCTAAATACAAATGTGACATGACGCACTGTTTTTACACTATGTCAAATAAATGCTAGGAAACATAACTTCAAAATATTGATTATATCTATTATATAGATAGATAGATACATACATAGTATGTATGTACTTAGATAATGCCTTTGGTATGTCTCTTGCATATCGGAAACAATCAACAGAGTAACACAACACAATAAACAAATAACACGATATAGTGTTTAGGCCTAACGTTACATATTCAATATGAACTACTTACATGTTTTAGCTTGTACAGTGACGTACAGCACACAGAACAGGGCGAAAGTGATGATTGCTCTCATTTTTGTTGATTTAGTTGCGAGCACCAAAAAGAGTATGCTTCGGCTATCAGGTCCAAAGCGGTTAATATCGAAAGTAAACGTCCAGTAACCTTAAATGCACTGTCGCCACCTACACAAGCCCAGCCTTCAAAATGACAGGCAGCCAATAGTAAAATTGCTACAAACTGTTACTAGGTAGATTTGATCTAGGGAGGTTATACAGACTGTGGCATCGGTCTGGCGGAAAACAATCCCTTTGGAAATACCCTAACTTACCTAAACAATAACAAGACTCCTCCTTCTTCTTTGCCCTCATAAACATAGCCAATCCGCCATTAAGCAAATCGACATTACCAGATGTATATTGAAAAACAATATTTATAATAGTGGTGACACTTTACTATAAGGTCCCACCAGTTAACATCAGTTACATTAACACAAACAAACAATGAGCAATACTTTTGTTACAGTATTTAGCCTATTCTTATTCATCTTTGTAAACGTTATTAAAAATAGCCTACAACTAGTTCATGTCAGCTCAGGTCCAATAGATAAAATGTACTTGTAATGCATTAGTAAATGTTGAAAAGAATATCAAACAAGATTAATAAATGTTTTAGAATATATATATATTTTTATTCATGTTAACTTATTTATGTAATGTTAACAAAGGAGAACTGAACATTTTGTGAAACATCACAGAGTGATTTGTAAACAGGCAAATACTGTGTATCTCAATTTTATTTTCAAAACAAATGGTTAGTGAACTGTGTAACATAGCAGTGTGCTATACTTGCAAAACTATTTTAACGTAACATTTTCACTTTAATAAATGTATAATTACAAAATTGAGTGACAATGGTATATTTGTAGTTTTAAAAATAGTAGGCTATTATAGTATAGAATACATTATGGATGTTAATAGATTATATAAGAGCCCCCAGATGCCTTTAAATGGGGTACTGGATTACAAGAAAATGCTCATTCAGTCTTTCTACTTCAAAATGTCACATTTTAATTTAATGTGTTACTTGCAGTTTGTTTCTAATTTTTGTGAAATGTAAAATCCATTCATATCAGTTTCTTTTTTTGGCAGAGTGCAAACTGAATGCCCAAATATGTCAATCTAAGGCTGGAAAAAATATGAAGAGCTAAATTAAGCATCAGCCACAGGAACGTTAAAGTTATCCCTGTTCCTCACGCTTTTGGGTTATATGGAATAAGGCGGTGAGTCAAAGCAATAAAGAAACGCATATGAATTGTGGCTTGGCCATGGATGCCAGATTCCCTGCCACAACATTCTTCATCTCAGTCTCTATGGATACTAAGCACAATATTATGACACCATGCTTTGTGTAGGTCTGTAATCCAATGTATTAAACTGCTGGGGGAAAAAATGTGTAAAGCTCTACTTTATGCACTTTCTGTGCTGTCTGCTTTGGAAGTGCTTTCACTTTAAGGACGTGTGCATTGGTTTGTTAGCCCATTTGAATGAAACCAAAGTAGATTTACCAGCCTGGGCACATTTCATATGACTTGTCAGCTTTGCAAATAATGTTTCATTTTCTGATCAATTATTAGCATACAGTGGGTCAAAAATATCTCATAGTATCAGATAACTAACCATGCATATAAAAAAATCAAGTTACATATACTGTATGTTAAAGAAAAATCTCACAAGTTTCTTACTTGTTAAGCTTAACTAAACTTAACATGTCCATTATTGATTTGATGAACTATACTTGTGGTTACTCCACTATAGCATTATATGATAGGCTACCCTATAGAACAGCTATGTGAACTTGCCAATTGGTTTAATAGCCTCTTATCTAATGCAGTGAAATGCATCTATGTTTGAGTGTGGCTTAATCTCTAAATACATTTGTGGCCACTGTATAAACAAAAAGCGAAAGTAGATTCCAAGGCTCGAAGAAGATCTCCGGGAAATCATGTGATAAAATTTTGAAAATTTTTTTGTACGTTATATATACGGAAGTACATCTCGAGACCAATGACTATTACCCGATATTGCCTCTGTATCTAAACCGAAAATGAAAAACTATAAACAAACATCATCTGATTATCTGGTGAGGTTTTTTTCCGTGGTCAAACCTTCAAACTGTCTGGTACTTTTGTAGATCTCAAAATATAGGGCAGCCTGCAATGGCACACTTTTTCCCACTAGCTGTCAGCATTGTACCAGCATTGAAGGTGAAACTAAAATCGTGTACAGAATTAAATCTCCAGCCAGGCAGTCAAAACTAAGTTTGAGGTTTGGACCAAATACTGAACATAACTCTTACTTTTATATGATTTCAACCACCAGACCTTAAAAACAAGCTCATCATACAATATAAAATCTAATGGTTGACTTGGTCATATGACATCCTGTGATAAATATCATTTTTTTCCATCCAGTGTTCAGCTAATGTTCCTATAATGTTAAATTGTAATTGAAGATCAATTAGCAGCCTTCAGTTAATGTCAAACAGAGGAAGTCCGGGCTCTCTGCTTAGAGAGACGTTCACTCAAACGTAACACCACCTTGTTTTGACTCGTTTTGCACCTGTCTCATTTTTCATGTCTCTATCTAGAGCGTGCCACAAATCCTGAGAGTTTGCGGTGCAGCCGACTGGGACGGATGCACAAGCATGTGCCTCATAAAGACTGCAGACAGAAACCATAACAAAACCATCATGCTTTCTAGGAGGGATTTTACACTTTGCACTGACAATAGAGGCGTACTTTCAGTCTGTCTGTGCAAAAATAGTTATTTTCATTGCAAAAAAAAGTCGTCTAGGTTTTGTAGAACTATTTTGGGATCAGCAATGAAAGAACCATTTTTTGTAGTGTGAAGAATATTTTTATATTCTAAAGCACCTTTTGTGCAATGAAAAGGTTGCATGGATGTTAAAGTTTCTTCGTGGAACTATCAATGCCAATAAAGAAATGTAAGAATGCAGCTATCACAAACATGCTTAGTGTCAATAGTGCAGAATCTTCTTAAATATCTTAAATTTCTCTCCTTTACTTTACGTCATGGTGTTTCCTTGTTTTAAATGTTTTAAAAAAATCCTAAAACTTTGTTTCTCAGATTTTGGACCCCACCAGCGTACATCGTCGCCTAGTTTATGGTACAATGTTGCTGCTAGAGCCACAAAAAAGTCCAGACTTCTACACTCTTAAAACTAAAGTTTCAAAAAAGGGGGTTTGTAGCGATGTAACAGAATAACCATTTTGAGTTCCCTAAAGAAACCTTCACTGAGCAGTTCTCAAAATAACCATTTTTCTTAGTGTGAATAATATTTTAATAATCTGAAGAATCTTATTCCACTATAAAGACCTTTTTGTGCAATGGTTGTGCAAAGTTTCCATGGATGTTCTTCGTGGAACCATCAATGCATAAGAATAAGGAAAGTTTATTTTTAAGAGTGTAGGTGTCACAAATTTGTTTAATGTGTCTTAAATGTCTCTTCTTTATTTTACGATTCCTTGTTTTAAAGGTTAAAAATTCTAAAACCTATGTTGTTTAAATCAAATTTTAAGTGTAAATCTTCTCCTAGTTTATGGGACAATGTTGCAGCTAGAGCCTTGGAAAGTAGTTTTATTACATGCGGTGTTGTTGCCATAAGTGATGGAATGCCATCAAACATTTGTCGTGGAATTCTTGGAGTTACTCTAGAATTCCCAGACTTCCCGGTCGGTTCTATTAGCGTTGGGAATGAAAGCCAGATTCTGGAGTACAGGGTGGTTTAGAGAGATGGAGGGAGGGAGGTTCCAGCCATGCGGTTTGGTCTCCCCGCCAAGACTGTGCTTCATTAAAATGAGGTCATTTACAGAGCCAGGAAGGAAAGGGAAAGAGAGGGAGCGAAGGAATGAGACAGGCGAGTGAAAAGCGAGATAGACCCACTGAGGGAGGAGGCGGTAATGGAGGCGAGTTGGGTGGCGGGTGGAGGGGGGCGGCAAAATGAAAGCAAGATGAGTCACAGAGACCAAGAACAAGAAAGAAAGAGGGATAGGAAGAAAGGGAAATCTTTCCTCGATGACTGTGCGAGTGTGGCCGGATTGTGCGGAGCGGCACACGAGCTCACGGTGCTGGTGACAGCGGGATGAGTCAGGACCGCCGGCGTGAGTCAGTGACAGCATGACACTCGGGTCAGACACACCCTCAAACAAGTCTTGTATATATTATATAATAATACATATATAATGAATGTGGGAAAAAAGTCACAATAAAATAAAATGATAAAACAATAAGAATAAATTATATAGCCAAGTGTATGTAACCTGTACTTAGATTATGTAATGTCATGACATTGTGAATACACAAATACAAACATATTTAGGTTTTGGAGCCTGCACGCTATGTTTGTCAAATGCCTTATTTTAACGTTTTATAGTACAGACATGAAAATGTGCTCACACACACTCACAGTCACAAACATACTCTGTTTCAATAGGTCCCAAACACAAACAGACAGTCATCTCACTTGTTCCATTCATCCTGTCCACGCTTCCACTTCTCCACACTCTGGCTTGGAACCCAGAAAATCACACGCCCACCTTGAACGCAGCTCATGCTGAGCTCCGGCACAGATTCAGCGACGACCGGCCTCTGACACACACAGGCTGGGGGAAACCAGACACGGTCACATCCTCTCTATATTCAGAAGGAAGCAGGCAGGATTACACAGCCTGAAGTTCTGATGTCCAGTGTGACTCATTCCTATAAACAGACACTTCTGAATGGAGGAGGATCGGGTGTTGAAGGGCCATTCACAGACATCTCACCAGTGTAGAATTTAGTGTACAAATGTGCTGCTGACTCACCTCGATTTGAGCTGTTTTGATTTTTGAAGGCTTGAATGAGGCCAAGGTGGTCCAAATGTGCTGGGATGGTTCAGATATGCCACTTGAAGACTCAGAAGGACCCTGAAATGCACTTCATCCACAATCAATAAACCAATAAATGTCATCTAAGTACACCTTCTTTCTGCCTGAAGCTTCTTCATCATAGTTTCACTGTAAAACTTGGGTCGACATTAGAAACAAATACTAAAAGCACTATTTACAAAAATTTTGTAATAGTTATTATAACACA